GATTACTCATCCGAGATTTCCTACACTCCCCCTCAAGCTGGTGAATATAGATCTTCCATTCCCAGCTTGCTAACATTCTCATGAAACATGTTGTTACACAGTCCCTTTGTCATCACATCTGCAAGTTGAAGTCCTGTCGGGACATATGGAGTACAAATCAGTCCACTGTCTAGCTTTTCTTTAATAAAGTGTCTGTCTATCTCTATGTGTTTTGTCCGATCATGTTGCACTGGGTTGTGGGCTATACTTATAGCTGATTTGTTATCACAGTATAGCTTCATCGGTTTGCTCCATTGAATCTTTAGGTCCTCTAGGATAATTTTGACCCACAATAATTCACATACTCCTGCTGCCATGGCTCTGAACTCTGCTTCAGCGCTTGACCTTGCTACCACACTCTGTTTCTTGCTTCTCCACGATATCAAGTTTCCTCCAAGAAAGGTACAATAGCCCGAAGTTGATCGCCTATCGACTGGAGACCCTGCAAAGTCTGCATCTGTGTAAACTGTCAGATCAATTGTAGATCCCTTTTTGAATAAAATTCCCTTCCCTGGATGTGCCTTTAAGTAATGAAGTACTCGGTAGACAGCCTGTAGGTGAACTTCTTTAGGATCATGCATAAACTGACTGATAACGCTGACTGAGTAAGCTATATCTGGCCTAGTATGTGCGAGATAGATGAGTTTCCCAACAAGTCTTTGGTACATCTCTCTGTCCACTTCCTTATTTCCAAGAGCCTCACTCAATCTGTGATTTTGTTCAATGGGAGTTCCAACAGGTTTGCTAGCCGTCATGCCTGTTTCCTTGAGCAGGTCCGTAACATACTTTTGTTGAGAAATAAAAATTCCCCGTCTTGATCGAGCCACCTCAATTCCAAGGAAATACTTCAATCTTCCTAAATCTTTTATTTCAAATTCCTTGGCTAGACATCGCTTCAAGGCCTCCTTCTCTACTTCATCATTTCCTGTCACTATAATGTCATCCACGTACACAATTAAAACAGTGACTCCCCCTGAGGCCGAATGCTTGATGAAAAGCGTGTGATCTCCTTGACTTTGCTTGTAGCCACTAGCTATCATCACCTTAGCAAATCGTCCAAACCAAGCACGTGGGGATTGTTTCAGCCCATATAATGCCTTTTTTAATCGACAAACCTTGTTCTTGTCAACCCCACTAAATCCCGGTGGAATGTTCATATAAATCTCCTCTTCTAATTCTCCGTGAAGAAAGGCATTCTTCACATCGTATTGCTGCAATTCCCAATCAAAAATAACAGCCAAGGACAGCAAAATCCTCACCGTATTCATCTTTGCTACAGGAGCAAACGTTTCTTGATAATCTACTCCATATGTCTGTGTATATCCTTTTGCAACTAACCTCGCCTTGTAGCGTTCTAGGGAGCCATCTGCCTTAAATTTTACTGCATATACCCACTTACAACCCACTGCTTTCTTACCCTTCGGTAAATCAACCAGTTCCCAAGTCTCATTCTTCTCTAATGCATCCATTTCTGCTTCCATAGCAAGTCTCCATTCATTCTTTGATAATGCTTCAGACAATGAGCTGGGAATAGAAGCTGTGTTTAAGGTGGAAAGGAAACTTTGATGGCTTGGGGAAAACTTCTCAAAAGACACAAAGTGAGACAATGGGTATAGGGGTCTTTTTGTGCATTCTCGGGTCTTTTTTCTTACAGCAATAGGCAGGTGTAGGTCCTGGTCAAGGCTAAGAGGCTGGGGACAAGGTGATTCAGGATTGGTATAAGGATGGTCTGTTGGTGGTATAGAATTCAGATTTGATTCACTCATTGTTACCTCATTTCTGGAGCTTACCTCATTCCCGGAGCTTGGTTCAGAGGATTGTTCTTGCCTTGTAGCCACGATGGGATCTCCTTTCCTTGCATACACTTGGCCAAACCGGAACCAGTCAAAGATTTTATCATCTCCTCCCCTTTTTTCTTCCAACCCGTCAGATTGTGGAATTGACTTTTGGGAGTTTTGAGATTCAGAGTTGGACGACTCTAGTGGTGGAAAGTTTGACTCTTTATCTTCAAGTGTACATAACTCCCCCTGAAGATAAGGAGTGGTGAAATAGGGTTTATTTTCAACGAATGTAACATCAGCTGAGACATAGAGTTTTCTAGTAGGTGGATGGTAACATTTGTAACCCTTTTGAGTAGATGAGTACCCCACGAAGACACACTTAAGAGCACGAGGATCTAACTTCCCACGGTTGGGACTATGAACATGGACAAAGGAAGTCCACCCAAAAACCCGAGGAGTGAGATTGAAGGAAGATCGAATGTCGGTGTAGAGTTTGGACAGGTATTCTAGCGGACTTTGAAACCCCAAGACCCTAGAAGGAATTCTGTTTATGACATAAGCTGATGTGAGTACAGCTTCTCCCCAATATGTTTTTGGCACATTTTGTTGAAACAGTAAGGCTCTAGTGCACTCAAGAAGATGTCGATTTTTTCTTTCCGCCACTCCATTTTGTTGTGGAGTGGTGATACATGATGATTCGTGTATGATTCCTTCTTTTTGGAAATACGGTCTCAAGATTTGATTGAAATAATCACGAGCATTATCCGAACGAAAGTGCTTTATCTTGGTGCCAAATTGATTTTGAATCATTGCGTGAAAGATAGGAAAAATATGACTCACATCAGACTTATTTTTGAGTAAATAGATCCAAGAGACTCTTGTGCAATCATCAATAAATGTGACAAACCACTTAGACCCTGAGATGTTTGGAACAGTTGATGGTCCCCAAATATCGCTATGGATTAAAAAGAAAGGAGAAGAAGATCTTTTATTACTGATGGGAAATGGTACACGAGTGTGTTTCGCATACTCACAAATATCACAATGAAAAGACTGAATATCTAATCCCTTGAACAAAGAGGGAAACATTAATTTCAACACAGGAAAGGACACATGACCTAGGCGCCTATGATGTAACCAGATGACATCCTTATTGGAAGAAGAAAACGTGGACAGGGCAGATTTACTGAATTCCGGTTGACTTGATGTATCCAAGTAATAGAGTCCATTATGCTCCTTAGCAAGTCCAATCCTCTTCCCCGAACCCTGGTCCTGAAATTCACAACATGAATTATGGAATATAACGCAGCCAGATAAATCTTTGGTAAGCTTTTGTATGGAAACCAAATTTGTAGATAAGTGGGGAACGTGAAGAACATTTTTAAGCACCAGTTTTGGGGTAACTTGGACATCTCCTATTCCTGCTACTGTAGTTGTAGAACCATCAGCAATAACAATCTTTCTATTGCTAGGACAGGGGGTATAGGTTTTGAATTTATTTGAAGTATGGGTCATATGATCCGTAGCACCAGAATCAAGGATCCAGACATTCCTAAGCTCATTATCGAAAGCATTTAACCCAAGAGAGATTAGAGCCTCACCTGAAAGTGTCAATGAACACATACCCTGATTCGTTGGTTGAGAATTGTTAGTTGCTGGTTTTTCAACAATCTCCAGCATACTTCTAATTTTCTCGATTTCCTCCATACTAAATCCTCCAAACACTTGAGTTGAGTCTTGAATCGACACATGAGCCTGCCTTTGCTGGCCACCTTTTTGTCCCCATTCACGACTGTTTGTGGATGGTTTCCCATGTAGTTTCCAGCATCGTTCTTTGGTGTGCCGTGGTTTCTTGCAATACGTGCACCACAACTCTTCGCGATCTTTTTGCACACTTGACCGGTTGGTCTTGTCCACAGCAGCTTTGTCCAGTACCAGCCCCTGAGGTTTAGAGCTTAGAAGAGCAGAATTTTCGGTTGAAGGCGACTCTAACATAATGCCCCTGCGGCTCTCTTCTGCACGAACCAGAGATATTGCTTCGGTGAGAGAGGGAAATTCAATTCTGCCCAGAATTTGAATTCTTACAAGATCAAATTCAGAATTTAGGCCAGTCAAAAAATCATAAACTCGGTCCCTTTCAATAAACTTTTTGATGACCACGGCACATTTGCTACAATTTAAATCAAGTGTCCTGTAATAATCCAGTTCCTGCCACTGGTTTTGCAAAAAATTGGCATACTCTGTCACCGTTTTCGTCCCCTGTTTTGCTCCAGTTGTCTTCGTCTTGATATCATATATAAGGGCTGCATCATTGACCTTAGAATACGTCTGATGAAGGGCATCCCAGATCGCCTTTGCTGTAGGAAGAAACATACACGTATCACTGATTTCAGGGGTCATGGAATTCCATAACCACGACATAATCATTGAATCCGCTTCTTCCCACGCTTCAAATCCCGCCGTTCCGCTCTTAGGTGCTATCTCCAGTAGATGACCCAACTTTCCTTTTCCTTTCAGAAACGTTCGAACCAGTTGA